TTTTATTGCATGGTTGATATCCTGTTGGAAAAAATCCAAACAATGTTTCTCTTCTTTGCTCAGCAAAACCATTATGTTGATTGAATCAGAGCCAATACGTACACTCATGAGCTATCTTGCCTTAACCTTATTTGTAATTTAGTTAGGACAGAACTGCATTTTAAATGCTATAGATAAGCTACAGCAAGGGCCTCATCTTAAAGCTGCTAGTTTAGGGGTTGTAACGCCACTTAAAGCTGGCTGTCTCCAAATTAAATGTTGTTCTGATTCTGAAGACAGGATAAACCTTTCCATGGAAAATTCGGTGGAGGAAAAATAACGCTATCTTTTGTTGGGAGAAAAAAGAATAATGGCTTTAGATATTTATTAGTATTTTCTAAAATCTCTAAACCAGAATTCCAGTAAGTACTCAGTTCGATTATTCTGGCTGAGACATCTGAAAGAGAACTAATGGACTTCAAAATTTCCTGCTATATACCCATTCCTGAATCAAATACACATTTAAGATTTATTTAGCCCTTCACCCTGGGTGCAGACATGCAGTCCTGAAGAACAAGTCTATTTGGGTTAGCACAGGAACCCCTGTTAAATTGCCATTTATCACTGCTCAAGCCAACAGAAATCTTGTCAGCAATGTCTTACAGCAGAATCGAGCCATAGATTGTTTCATACTCTGTTAATATAAATGCTATCAATGCCTACCTTCATACGATAGGCCGTTTTATGTCACTACAAGCAAATAAATGCTAAAACAAAGTCATAAATGTACAGTCAGGTAATTACATCAACACACCTTACTGGTGGCCACATGCTATTTCATAAAAACTGTTAAAGAAAACACTAACATGATAGTATATGGCTCTTCAGCTAAATCAGAGTCCCAAGAAACGTCTGTAAGCTAATCCAAAATTAATCATTACATGACAGCAAAATGCTGTCCCTTCACCTAAACACTAATGAGCTTCTGGTAGCTTACACAATTGCCAAACTTCTGACTCTCATAAGACATCTCCACATGGCAAGGTCAGCTGGAGAGATTAACAACTAATCCATTAATCGACTAGTTTCATACCAATCCATCATGGAGGTCCTTAGAAAAAAAGCCGGGAACAGTTATACATCCTGAAGATAATGTGCAGACTCCCTCTGTGAAGCCCATGTTCTCCTACTTAACAGAAACACAGTCTGACACTCCACATATTTTATGGAGTCCAGACTTCTCCCAAGTATGTATAGTACAATTAACATCAAATAAACACACAGAAGAGAATAGTGCATGAACCATTATTTTCTGCCTTAAAAAAAAAAAAAAACAAACAAACCCAACCTGCAGTGAACCAAAAGCTTCACATACTTTAGAATATGGAAATAACATATAAACAGCATTAGGACAACATTCTAGTAAGTCATGGCCGTGGTCTTGCTAGGAGTTTTTATTGTCTTTCATGAGAGCTGTGTTAGGTGTCTGTTTGTATTTACGTATTAGAATAAATAAGAAACTGTTAAATAAATACAGCATTAAAAATTAAGTTTTTACTCTGTGTGCCCTATGACGAATATTAGACTGCAGAAAGTCTGTCAGTTAACAGACATTCATTAACTAATATAATGATAACCCATGTTGTATATTGCATATTCATAAATGTTTGGTGCTTGATTTACACAGTTACAGACATAACAAGAACAGACCCATCACGGACACTGTGGAGCCTAGATATCTTAGTGATAGCAGAAGTGAAATGCATCAGATCAGCTTGTGCACCCCCCGTATGTGATAAACTGATGAATATACTCATATAATCATACTAGCTTTTGTCTATTTTATTTTAGCTTGTCTTTGTCTATTTTAGCTTAAACGATGCACTTCAAGTATTAAAATGGACTTCCACTTGTATTTAAATCTGTAGTACACAGCAATCCCAATTTTAGTTATTTTTCACTACTACTATGATTCATATATTGCTCTTTAAGCATTTTTTTCTTTCTTTTCATTCTGATGAAGAATAGTTTTATGTTCATGACTTTACAGTGTAAATGAAAAATTAAACTCGAGTCCTTAATGTCCTTTGCACTGTTTTAACAATAGGTGAATGTGAAGTACTTTGGAAAAGTCTAAACATGAGGCTTCACACTAATTCATATCATAAATTCCTGACAAACACAAACCAAATAATCTATTAACTATTGTAAGCTGTTGCAGTCTTGTTAGCATTTGCCATTATCTAGAAAGAGCAGTCACGGGCGTACTGTATAAACTGATTCACTCAAAGTAAGGGTACAAGTAACGTTTTAAGTATAAACTTGACAGAAGATAGTTTAGTATTTTTCACTATTTGCTCTGGACATTTACATTGATTATTAAGATCAGAAGCAGAATCAATATATTAGAATACTTACATGCCAGAATGTGCCTTAGTGGGTTTTTTTACCATTTACATTTTTTAATACATAATATACTTTTAATATTGTGTAATTTTTAAAGGATAACAATATATTTCTTAAAGTGATACAACTATGATAACAGGAAAAAAAGTCTTAGTTCTTCCTGCTTCCTCCTTTTCACCATTAATCACAGAATCGTTGAGGTTGGAAGGGACCTCTGGAAACTGTCTAGTCCAAGTCCCTTGTTCAAACCAGGGCCAACTAGAGCAGGTTGCTCAGGGCTGTGTCCAGTCGGGTTTTGAGTACCCCCAAGGATGGAGACTCCACCACATCTCTAGGCAACCTGTTCCAGGGTTTGATCACTCTTACTTTAAAAATTTGTCTCATTTAAATGGTATTTCCCGTATTTTAATTTGTGCCCCTTGCCTCTTCTCCTGTCACTGGGCACTACTGAGAAGGGTCTGCTCTGTCCTTCTCTCTCCACCCATCAGGTACTTACAGACGTTGGTAAGATCTCCCCTGAGCTTTCTCTCCTCCATGCTGAACAGTCCCAGCTCTCTCAGCTTCTCTTTGTCAGGTGCTCCAATCCCTTAATCATCTTTGTGGCCCAGGATGTCCATGTCACCCTTTCACTGGGGTGTCCAGGACTGGGCATGGCACTCCAGACGCGGTCTCAGCCAGTGCCGAGTAGAGGGGAAGGATCGCTTCCCTCAGTTTGCTGGCCAGTGCTCTTTCTCATGCAGCCCAGGAGGCTGCTGGCCACCTTTGCTGCATCCGTTACCTTTCTAGGTGACTGAGGTGAGGCTGACTGGCCTGTAGTTCTCCAGATCCCCCTTCTTGCCCTTCTTGAAAACAGGGTTGACATTTGCTTTCTTCTAGGCCTCAGGAGCCTCCCCTGATTGTCATGACCTCTCAAAGATAATTGAGAATGCCCTTACGATGACCTCTGCCACCTCCCTCAGCATTCACAAGTGCACCTGTCAGATCCCATAGACCCATGTATGTCCGGTGTGTTTAGATATTCCCTAAACTGATCCTCCTCCACCAAGTCTTCCTTGCTCCAGACTTTCCCACTGGACTCTGGGACCTGACTGCTGAGGTCAATCAGCAGATTGCTGGGGGGGGTGGCGGGAAGAAGTGAAGAAGGCATCAAATACCTTGGCCTTTTTGGTGTCCGTTGTAACCAAGCCCCTGCCCCATGTGGCAGTAACCCCACATTTATCATAATTTCCCTTTTGCTGATCATACACCTACAGAAGCCCTTCTTGTTGCACTTCACATCCCTTGCTATCTTCAACTCCAGATAGGCTTTGGCTTCCCTAATCCCACCCCTGCACACTTGCACAGTGTTTCTATCTTCCACCAGGGTCACCTGTTCGCTCTCCCCCTCTTATATGCTTCCTTTTTATATTTAATTTTAGTCAGGGGTTCCTTGTTAATCTATACAGGCTTTCTGCCACTCCTGCTTGACTTTCTGCTCATTGGGATGGACCATCCTTGAGCTTGGAGGAAGCAATCCTTGAAAATCACCAGCTCTCCTGGATCCCTCCTCTCCAAGACCATATTCCACAGGATTTTTCCAAGCAAATTCCTGAACAGGACAAAATCTGCTCTCCTGAAGTTCAGGGTTGTGATCCTGCTGTTTGTTTCTTCCTCCCAGGATCCTGAACTCCACCATCCCATGGTCACTGCAGGCAAAGCTGCCCCCAACCTTCACATACCCAACCAGTTCCCCCTTGTTTGTACATTTCAGGTCCAGCAAAGAGCCTCCCCTTGTCAGCTCCTCTACCATCTGTGTCAGGAAGTTCAGGAAGTTACCAATGCTCTCCAGAAACTCCCTTGACTGCTTGCATCCTGCTGTGTTGCCCTTCCAACAGATTTCAGGTTGGTTCAAGTCTCCCTATGACCAGGGCCTGCAAACATAAGGCTTCTTCCAACTGCCTGAAGAATGTCACACACTTGTCCTGATCAGGTGGTCTGTAGCAGATGACTACCACAACATTGCCACCTTGGACTCCCTTTAATCTTGACTCATTAGGTCTCAGCTGGCTAATCACTGGTCCTCGGGCAAAACTTCATGTGTTCCTCCTGCTCTCTTCCTTCCTCACTGCCCCAGCCTGTGCTTCCTAAAGAGCCTGTATCCATCCATTGCAGCACTCCAGCCATGTAAGCTATTCCACTACATCTCTGTGATCCCAATGACATCATAGCCCCGCAACTGCACACAGGCCTTGAATTCCTTCCACATTAAGCCACGAATTGTTTTAAAGTCTGTTATAATTAGCATCTTTAAAATAACCCAGTAATACTGTTGCCCAAAAGAATAATCACATACACAAAAGAATTTCAACAAAAGAGGAGGAAAGGAAGAAACAATCCTGTGCATTTTATTGGTATTGAGGTACAGTCCAATTGCAATTGGCTAAACAAGACTTCCCCCCCCTTTTTTTTTTAACTGAAATGCAACATATAAAAAAGATGATTGAACAGTCAGCTGTAAATACAAAACCTGTTCACAAAAATTAAAAAAAAAAAAAAAAGCAGCCTGTTTTGGACATATAACTTCATATTTATGGCCCAGTTAATTCAAGATCATAAGAATAGTTTTGTTTTCTGTACTATAGGTGCTTTCTACACAAGGATCCAACACAAGCATTGTTCCTGGGCTTATAAATTACCATAGGTGAAGACGCACGTGACTGACAAGATACAGGTCGCTTACTCTTCTTCATGGTAAGAACATTGTCTTCCTTTGGAGGAGGCACGTGTACAGGTTTCCAAGGAATGGGGTTATAATATGCTGGAGCTGGATACAAATTTCCATCAGCAAATCCTAAAACATGTAGAAAATACACATAACTAAAAAGGAATATGTACACTACAAGCTTTACAATCCAAGCAGTTATAATAATCATCTGGACTAACAAAGACACAACTTCTTCTTCAGAGGAAGACAGCCTAGGCACATCACATAATTCAAATGATTCAAAGTAATAAATCTTCCACTTTTTTTTTTTTTAACCAATAACTGGCGTATTCTTCATCTCTATTTAAAATAATAAGTAGGTCGAATGTTGTGTAACATTCAAAACGCTCAGTCCTTTGTATACTTAAAAGCTGTAAATGTCTACAAATTGGCTACTTCTGTGCATTATTTCAAAGCATTTATAAATAAAACTTCCTGTCACCACATACTTTTCAATCTTTGCTTAACTGTTATTCTTCATTTCATTGAGAAGAAAAATACACTAATTATCCACATATACATTAATAATGTGCAATTAATAACCTAGGGCTCATAAAGCAATATTAGAAAACCTAAACTGGAACCGAAGGAACATGTTGCCCTTTCAGTCATTTTGTGTGCAGTGAAATTTCAGTATGCACTGAAATCATGTGGTTCATATGAAATCATGTGAATCACGTGGTTGGGTAAAACAAAGTCTGTAATATATTCTGTTGCATGAACACAACTGAATAGAGAAATATTTTTCAAAAAAATCACTTAAGTGATTGCAGCTGTGGGGAAGTAATGAACGTCCAAAACAAAACATGAAGACCAAAGTGTTTCACCACCTATAAAAAGATGTAAGCAAAAGAGCAGAGGTTGTTCACCTGCTTTATAAGTTTTCTTAAACATTCAGAGCCCGGAATTTAGGTCCTAAAATATTTTCTGTTGTAAATCCAAACAACAACAATGATTTTAATTCTATGAATAAAGGCAAAAGTATATATATATTTTTAAAGAAAATTTAATTAAGCACTCAAATGCAAAATACAATACTGTTTCTTACTGCTCTTCTGCTTTTGTACCACGTGGGATGACAAAAAAATAGAAAAATAAAGTGAGACTCACAAAACACCACACTATCAACAGCATTCTCTTTAACACTTCCCTTTAAAACAAAAAAGGAATAGGATTACAGAAGCCAAGAAGGTGCGATGCAGGTGCAAAGCTAAATGGAAGGGAAACCTTAGCTCAGAACACAGGTTGATTCCCCTGTCTCCTTTTTCAGACAGGACTTCCATCAGCCTGTTATTAATCTTTGCGTCTCAAAACCCCGCCTCTTTTCTAAGGGGGATTCAGGTGCGATAAGGTGGCACACACCTGTAACACAAACACTAACTTCACAAGGATGCTAACATAACTGACTTGCTTCACAGGAACCAGTGATTGGCTCTACTGATTCCTATGCCTGATAAGGAAAACGCGATCAAAATCAGTTAAAATTCGGTATGCCACATTATTCTCTCAAATAGTATTTTCCCCCCATATATCATGAAGGGCTATGAAAAATGCACACAGGGTCTCAGAATAAAAGCTTCTCTGACTTATACCATATGAGATATTCATTCCTCTGTGCTAAAATTAGATATTGGATGAAAATCTTAAACAGGCTTCATTTTACATTAAAAGATTAGAGGGAAGGAACCACAAAGCTAAGTCACTACATATGTGTAGTAGAAGTACAAACCTGCAGACTTCCCATGTGGGAAGCCATAACCATTTAAAACAGGGCGTGGTTTATTTCTAGCATTATGTAGCCATTCCTTAAAGATCTTCTCTGATCTTGCTTTCTTCTCCTGCAGCTCAGCTTCCCTTTCTTTTTCTTTTTCCTAAAAATAAAAAAAATCTAAGATACTTATAGACAAAGCCCTGTACAATATATATATAAAATGGTAAAGAAATCTTTCGCAAATTCCCAGGCTGCTGAATATATTTCAAATATGTTTTCAAATACAAATATGTTTTCCTGACAATAGAAAAGTTGCATTCTTTTTTCTTTAAGTCTGAAAAACAAAAGCATCAACCTCCACATTAATCCAGTGTTTCTCCGAGAAAAAGCTCTCAGAAACCTTTTGGAAAACTACACGTAGAAGATATTCTGAAGATGATGGGCAGACAACCAGGGCCTACTGTGCTGCAGTTAGACTAAAGAGGCTATTGCATCTGGGAGAGCCATCCACTCTTCTCATTTACCCATACTCATACAGCCCTCTATCAGTCATGACCAGGCTGCCTCCAAGCCTGGAGCAGGCTTGGGGAACCATTAATCAGAACTAAGAGGAAAACCAGTATGTTTAGGCATGGCATTTGGATGTAAACTGTTTAATTGATACCGTGAGCATGGCTTACAAGAACCTACGCAATGAAAACATGACTAAAAGAACGCATGTGGTTTAAATCTGTCTGATGACTTTCATTTTCTTGGGTTTCAAGGTCCTTGCACTGTGCATTTTAGAGGCTCAGCAGAGACACAGAATCAGTTTGTTAAGCAGGAAATAAACACCACCAGTACAGAATATCTGAAAGTGTTTTAATTATATGGGACATTTTAAAAGACTGCAAAATTAAGGTCATTAAGGCCTGAAAATTGATCTGATACAGCTTATGGTATTTTAAAGTTAATCCAAAGTAATTATTATATGTAGTTGTGAAATACTTACAAATGTGTTCTGCACTTTAAGAACAACTGCTGTAATCACAGGGAGAATATAGATAAATTCTTCTCCCCACAATCCTCCCCCACACTTAGCTGCAACAGTAGTGTAGTACTTCTATTAATATTACGTATTCTACTAAAAGATTATACTGTAATGTTAATTAAATTAAAATACAACCAATTAACTTCACAGATAAGGCATCTGGTTACACATTTCATAGTTTGCAGGCATAATCATTACAAATATGTGATATTTCAGAGGAATTCTGGATGATTCCTGCAAGCGTAGCCATGTTCTAAGCATTTGTTCTAGTGAACCAGAGGACCTCAAAGCCTGCACTTTAGGAAGCTTACAAGTAAGAGGCCTTCTGAAGCTCACTATAAAAATACATAGGTGATTAATTAATATAACATTAAAATTAGAACTCCTAGCATCAGATTGGTACAGACAGATACAAACTAAAATGCTTTTAATTAGAAATATGTGCAAGTATAATAATAATATAATGGTAATAGTGGTGCTGGGAGAAAAATGCCCAGAATGCTGCCTATTTTCTGCCTGGGTCACCCTGCAAAGGCCTGAGTAATAAAGGTACACTGTGTGGTTTGCATTTCTCTTCCCCTTATCACATCACAATTGCAGTGGGTTTGCAAACCCACCCTATTTAAAAAAACACGTTAATACGCATCTTGCTTTGCTGACCATACCTCGATGTCTTCAATGCACTAACATTACAACTCTTGAAAGTTTTTTTCATGTACAACACTGCCATTTGATAAATTCTAATCAAATTGATCAATCAATATATTTGATATAAGTTACAGATTAGGTAACCCCACCCAAATAATTAGTTGATTAATACCTTCTCTTTCTTCTTCTTTTCTGCCTCTTCAGCTCTCTTCTTCTTTAACCATTCTTTATACTTTACTTCGGCCTTTTCTTGTAACTGCATTTTTTCTAGTTCCTTTGCGGCTTTTTCTGCCATTTCTTTGCTCAGCTTGCTTTCCCTTTCCCTTCTTTCCTACATGAAACAGATCAAAGAAACAGAATAGAAACTTTTCAGTATATTTCAGTGGGCAATCCTTTTGAGGGATACAGTTAATTTTATTACATAATTACAAATAAAATTATCATAAACCTGAAAAAATATCATATTGCAAGCTCTTTGAAGACAGATCCTATTCATCACTAGGTTCCAGATAAAACAGTTTTAAACATACAAACTTGACAGAAAACATGATTAAAAATTTACTTTCAGCACGCCTTATGCTATTATGTTTACTACTCTGTTTTATTTGTTCAGACATTTTTTTTACAACACTTCAGACAGTTCTCAATATTTCTGGGAAAGAAATGTATGTTGCAGTTCTTGACAACGGTGTGTTAGTTTTACTTTTCAGTGAATCCAGAACAAACTACAGTTCCAAATGGAAGTCAGGCAAACTGCCCCTTTCTAACAGTCACTGAGATATGCAGATTGTTCAGCACACTTAAGCATAAATTGATATGAAAATAGGAAGTTCACATGTTTTGTGGTACTCTCTACATTTTTTATATTCTTTAGTTTATGCACGTATGGACTTCTATGAATCAATCTACACATTTCTCCTCTTCAAACGATGAAAGCAAAAACTAGAAAACATATTCTAGGGCAGGCAAGAAGCGGTAACTGAGTGTGAAGTGAAATTTTTACCTGTATAATTTCGAAGATACAATACACAGAGGTGTCACTCACTTCTATGTCTTTTCAGCATGTGTGTACCTAACAGTACACAACAATGTTTTGGAGACCGTTCTCTAAGCTCACAAGCACATATTGATGGCCTTTTCTTAATCTGGAGAGGAAGGTATTTTCATTTGAAGACTAACAATAGCTCTCATTTCCCTTCCCTGTAACCTTTATGAAGTGTCTGGGATTCTACTCATTCAGTACTACTTCTGCTTAGCTTGCTTAGCTCCGAATAACCTGCATACACACGCAGAGGCAAAGGTCTTTACCAGACTAGCTGTGCATGTAACTGGGAGGAGAGGCAGAAGACTTCAGTCAAGCAGTTTCCACTTCACAGAAAAGAACTGCTGAATAACAATGTTGTTTTTCTTTTAAGAAATCTTTTTCTTGTGTGCTCCCCTGCATACTCCTCTTGAACCAAGGAGATGTGTAGTTTAGCAGGAACTCACGCTGACTCAAAATTATTATAGTTGGCAGCATGGATGTCAAGTGCCTAGAACTACAACTGCAAAGTACAATAAACTGGGTCGGTCTTCGTTATGGAAAAGAGGAAAAACATATTTACAAGAAGAGCAGGAATATCCTTCCCTTCCCATTTTACCTCTTATAAGCACAAAAAGGCAGAAAGCTACAGCTCCACCCTGCTCGCCCCATGGGCCCCTGCCTGCCTTTTTTCCAGATTTATTGCACTTTTGGAAAATCCAGTTATGCATAAAGAAGCAGAAGCCATAATACTGGAGCTGGGGATGAGCACAATTCTCTCAGTCTGGTCTAAACAGGATATCTGGCGGTTCAATCCCTGTCCTCCATACCAAAATTTACCAGTAATCCAATATAGTAGCATCATACAGAATAAAAACTTTAGCTTATATTGTTCTGCAAAACACTAACTCATTCCTGCAATTTATTGGATGAGATGACAAGGTGCAAAACCAGGGCCAATAAAGAGAAAATGCATTGCTTTCAGGTTAAAACATTTGCCAGTTTTTTTTAAGACACAGTACTGGATAATAAATGCTTTCATGTTTGAATCTTTATCCACACTACATGAAATGGTCTTGATAAAGAAATAATTCTAAGCCTAATCCTAGCTTACTCCTGGAATTCATTTTTTCTGAGCATGTCATAATGCTAAACTGCAGACTTCCTATCAGAAGCCAGTTTACAGAACTGCTTGAGTTAGTGTGCCCCTCTCTGTGTTTGGCAACACTAGAAGCATGACTACAATTTTAACATCGGCAGCTAAATTATGCATTAACTCTGGGTTTTTCCACCCTTACAAGCTACGCCTTACTAACTCTATTTACCATAATCTCTGAGGTAGATGTTTCTTCACCTGAACCATGGTGATATTTTCAGTACCACTGTTTTGGTATACTCTTGTCAAATATTCCAGTCTGATGACAAACAGTTATTTGTGTACACACTGCACACAATTTCACAAAACAATTAGCTATTAACTATATTTTCTCCTTGGCTTGGTGGGTTTTTTTTTTTTTTTTTTATTTCACATTCTAGTGAACATCAGCTGAATCT